TGCAGCAAATTAACTTGTGCTGCAAACACAAGACAGAAAATCCAGGTCCAAAGAACAATTAAACGCTGGGAAGAGTGGGGGAGACTGGGAAATACCCTTCCTGGGAAAGCAGCCACGGGGGGGAGTGTAGAAGATTTGGAATGCTTCTGGACATTTCCTTTTTGGTCTGTAGGCCAGGGCCGGGGTCTATGGTATCTGTGTACAGAGGGTAGAGTAGGGTGCGGAGAAGAAGTCACATGGCCCAGCTTAACTATCACCTCCAACTCTATTTGGGACTGAGCTACAGGCTCACTGATAGATTCTCTGTCCCAGACTGGAGCCCTCAGACTGTCTGCTAGAGTCCTGACCCCAGCTGTGGATACACAAATATGTGGCATTCTTGTGGGGAGCTAGACACACGGCGTGTATAGGTTCTAGCCACATGCTAGGCACTGTGGGCCCCCGTGCTTGTCTTCCCGAAGCCCATGAATAAGACAGGGCTTCTGCTTGACTTTCCAGCCCCAGAATAAATACTGACATAAGTCTTTCCAAATTCCTCATGGTGTACCCGCCCTTCTCCACTGAATCCCAAAGCTTCTGAATAACATTCCACGCTGTGTCCCTTTGCTGTTGCCAGGCTGGAAAAACTGAGGGAGATGCTGATGGAAGAGGGAGGGGAGGGAGAGGGCCATGTCTTATGCAACCCCCGCATGCCCTTGAATTCCTGCTCTTCTTTTAGCTCCTCCCTCAGGGGGTTGCTTCAACCCCACCTTCACCGTCCCCCACCCCCAAGTCCCTGACTGGCTATGTAACGAGGCATCCTTCACATTCACCCTAGGAGAGGGGGCTGAGCCTGGGAAGCTGTTTTCCTGTTAGTGGCCTGAGTCAGAGAGCTATTCCCCACCACTCTCAGATGGAGACACCTGACTCTAGGTCCTTTGATATCCAGGGCAGGAGTTCAGAGTTCTGTACTACTGTCTGGATGACCTTGAGAAATAGCTTTTCCTTCTCTGTGTCTCAGTTTACCAGTTTTTGTGTTTTTGCAAGGCAAACAACAAAAACTGTGCTTGCCAACTTCAAATTAGCAATGAGAAGAAAAGCTAATAATAACAATAATAATTAGCATCTTGGGAGAGCATGGTGCTCATAACACCAAGGTCAAAGTTTCGGATCAGAGAGAGAGAGAGCGAGAGAGAGAGAGA